CCAAGGTAGAATGGGTCGGGCTGCCCCCAGAAGACGCCACTTGGGAACCTTATCTAAGGCTGAATGAGAGGTTCCCAAACCTAGACCTTGAGGGCAAGGTCAATGCTAAGGAGGGAGGAATTGTTGGGACCCAAATACCTTCACCGAACCCAATAAAGGGAGTGGAGCAGGCCACTACCCACCAGCAGTACTCAAGGAGGCAGAAAGGACAGGCGACAGAGCCTCAGAGTTAGTTACACACAGAGAGGGTGATTCTGCCGACATAAGATATTCCCTCCATGATATTTCCCAGAGTTAGTTATCCTGCAAATTAGAGGATATTCCCTCTATGAGTACACCTGTAGGCCAGCTATATAAGGTCATACTCTTACAATGAAAGGTGTGAATGAATATCCCCTGTTTCACTCTCACTGAATCTCTCTTTTCCTACCTTCCCTTCTCTTCTTCCTCTCCACTTTCTGTTTCAGGAGGTTAAGCCTCCCTCGAAGGGGCTTCCGAGGTGAGCGGTATCTCACCACCCTCTCAATCATGTTCAGATTGCATGATATAATTCCCTTGGAATCTTGGATATGTTATTTAATGCTCTTCCTAACAGTAACAAAATCATGGTAATTGAGCACATACCGAAACCAAAAGAAATAGAATAAAATAAAATAAAATAACGATCACAAGTAGGGAAATGAACTAGTGGGTTGATTCCCATGCATTATCAAACGATCTGTCTTACAAAAACTCTATAAGCAAGACAAATGCACCAAAGTTAGTAATATATGAATTCACAATTACTTGAAACCCAAGCTATCATATCCTGTATCTTTCTAAAAATAGATATTGGGATTACAAGAAACACTTCCAAAAGTTGATTGTTGGGAGCCTATTACAGTTATGTCCCCTCAGTAACTTCTTCTTTGTTAAAGACATGGTGCCTATATGCTGACATTGATTGGATGTGGTTAAAGTTCACAAGATCAATCTTGGGATGAGAAATTCTCTTTTTAACTTCTTGTCAAGACTATAGTTTCTGATAGATTTCCTGATTCTCTGATTTGTCACAATTCTCATCCATATTGACTAGGTCAGTTAACTCTTGATCACTTCAATATTTCCATCTCCAAATATTGTCCTCTATTACTCGAGTGGAAAAGTCATTCCAAATGTGGCATGCTTTGTGCATGATTTTCAACTCATGTAAACAATGTTAAAAATCATAAATTTAATGCAATATTCCATGGATGCTATCATTAATGTAACTATCATACTAAGCAAAGGATCAAGCACAACCACAAGCATCATAGTTGTGTTTGAAAAGGCTATTGTTAGGGAAGAGATAAGTGGGCACAACCAGTATGCAATTAAAACGCTGATGGAAATACTGGTTTTTTGCAATAAAATTGCAAGAAACGAGAAGAATCTGATATTTAATTTAGTGAGGGATCAGAATATGGTGGGAAATCTTAGGGAAATCAAGAATGCACAAATGCCATTTAATAGGTTAAATAAAGAAGAACTAGTTACAAGTGATCCCCATCCCTTAAGAAAAAGGGAAAAAGGAGAACATCATTAGGATTTTAATATGTACTATGAATAAGATTTTTTCCTTTTCATAATAAGTTAGTCAAGAGAAAACCTATGATCGTGTGAACTGGGAATTCTTCAGTTATCCTCATGTATGATGGCAATTAGCAATAACTGAAGATCTCGGACAAGAGAAAGTACATCCTTAGCCTGGATTCTAATTAGCGGGAATCCAACAAGATGTTTCCCATCCTCTAGGGAATGAACAAAGGGGGAATCTCTATCATTTCTTATTCACCAAGTGGGCTAACAACTTAACTAGATTTTGTCAAATTAAGCAAATCTAAGTTCAATTAAAGATTTCCAAGTAGGTACAGTTCATTAGTGACTCTACAATCTGGAAACAAATACTGAGAATATTTCCACCTAAAATGCATCTTTATTTGAAGTTTTAATAGCATTGAAGGTTAAAAATTGGTAAGATTTCCTTGTGTGAATTAATATGGAAAAAGAAACAGGCTCCTTCTCACTTTTTTGCATGTAAGTGGGTGAAAAGGAATTAACCTCCTATGAGGATGTGTTGGGTTGCTCCTTGAAATCCAGACTTATGACTTATCTAGGGGCTTGGAAAATCCAAGGGAGTTTAGTTTTTGGAATCCACTCTTTTTAAGAAGTTTCTTAAGAAGCTGGCAATGTGGAAGAGGAACTCTCTAGGTGGAAAGATCACACATATTAAGTCTACTTTAGCCAATCTCCATGTGTACTTCCTTTTGGTGCTTAAGATTTGAGTCATTTGACAAAAGATGGCTAGGAAAATGGAGAAGGTGATGAGAGATTTTCTATGGGGACTAGGGGAAGGGGAAAAAGATCATATAGTAAATTGGGAAGTGGTGTCTTAGGAAGGACCAAGGAATGTTGGGTATGGGAGATGTGGGCAAAAAGAATCCCACCTTACTAGGTAAGTGGTTATGGAAGTTGCCTCTTGAGAGTGAGAAATTATGGCATTAGGTGGTAGTGAGCATTTATGGGTGAAAGACAATGGTCAGGATGTTGGTTTATCTGTTAGGGTGACTCGGGCTGTTCGTCCTTGGAAGGAAATCCACAATTTTTTATCTGTGTTTAGTGAGTATTTAAAGTATGATCTCTGTATTTGTGGTAAAATAAAATTTTGGGAGAATTTGTGGCTGGGTGATGCTCCCCTTAAACATCTTGTTCCCTCTTTTGTACTCTTTGTCTTCCCTTAAATTATTTTCTGTTGCTTCTTTTTCCATCCCCTCCCCTTCTAGTTCTCATTCCGTTTGGGACTTGGGGTTTAGAAGAAGCATCTATGACTTAAAGCTACCTTTGGTTGTTAGCTTGTTGGATTCTTTGGAGAGGGTTTTCATTGATTCTCTTAAATCTAATCGGTATATTTGGATTTAGGTTCTCTTGTGTCTCTTCCTATCGAGTCTTGTCTCTTTCCCATCTTCTTCGAAGCCATTTCCTGTGAAAGAGATTTGGAACAGGCATGTTCCCCACATAGTGGGTACTTTGTGTTGGAAGGTCTTTCATGGGAAGATTAATACATGTGATATGCTTCAAAAAAGAAGGCCAAATTGGTGCTTATCTCCATATCGGTGCACTCTTTGCAAAGTAGCTGGTGAGACTTGATTTCATTTACTAATCACCTGTCCTTTTGTTTCTTGCATTTGGAAGGAGTATCTTGGCACCTAAGGAATGACCTCAGGAGGTTCAAATTGGGTTAGAAGATCTACCAACAGTTTGGAAGATGGTCTAGCTACTAAGCAAGGGGGTACTAAGACAGACTATGTTTTGGGCTCGGTTCTACTAAGCAAGTAGATGATTAGAAATAGGGTTCCTTGGGTATACAGAAATGAGATCAAGAAGCTCAAGTGGATGATTAGAAATATCCAAGTTAAGGTCTAGTTGGTTCCAAGTTGGCATAGCATGGCAGATACTTTGGCTAAACAAGGGGTTAATAGGGATCAGTTGTTTTGGGCTCAGTTGTAATGAATTCTAGGGAGGGCTAGAGCTGCCTAGACTCTCTTTTGTTTTGTAGTGTATGGGCTCAGGCAGTGCATGCTAGCCTAATAATTGTAATCCTTGTATGTTTTGTAGTTTATTGAATGCAATTTTCTGTTATCCATCAAAAAAATAATAAAGCCACTTACATCTGCATGCAGATGTGAAAAGGCTTTTCCAACCCTTCCAAAAATCTGAGGTTCCTTCGTTTCCAAGTGAACCAATGAATTGTAAATTGAACTGTGTTATAAAGGATGGATCCCCTGCAACCTAAAGAGAGCAAAAACAAAGAAGGACAAACTTCATGAAATAGAGAACAAATACATGCAGCATGAAAGGGGGGCAACAGAATCCCTAAATGGCTGTTGTCATGGGACAAAGAAGAGATGAAGCACTGATTCCTCTACAATCCATAGAGTTTATTGTAGCACCGTTCATCTTATTTTAACTATAGTAAATAACGCAATACTGCTTCGAAGATGAAACCCTTTAATAATTTGCTTCTAACAGAAAGATGCACCTGCAATTTTGAATGATAAATAGGAATTTATGGATAGAAGGTTTGCATTTGCTTAGCCATTTTAATTTCAATGTGCATTTTCTCTTTAGCCAATAAAAACATGGAATTAAATTGATGAATATCAGTAATCAGTATCATATATGCCCATGGTGAGGAATATATTTGCTAGCATCAAGAGAAGCCTCTATTATAACAAAATAAGAAAACACCCTTCAGAATTAAAACTGGATGCCACTGTGTAATTCCACCTATATGGTTTATCTTTACATAATTTAAGGAAAACATAAATCGCTTAAATGTGATAATTACTTTTTCATTATTCTAGTAATACTAGCAATAATGAAGCAAAATTCATAATCCACGGGAAAAGAAATTGAGGAAAAAGAAGGCTTGGGTAGAAATCTGAAAATATATGGACGACTGGCCTGAGAAATTTTTCACTTCACGGTTCATATTGAAGAGGAGAATGTTTAATGATTGAAGGTACATGCAAAATTTTGGCACTTGAGCTCTATAAGAATCTTCCGCACTTAGAGATCAAGCAAAATCCCAAAGACATAAAATTATATAACTTCAAAAATATAAGTCAGGACATAATGATAAACGAGACTCCAATCCTTTGTGAAGAACATAACCACCCATTGACTAAAATGAGAAAGATTGCCACGAGTATATGGAGAAAAAAATACAACTTCCTATCTATTAACAAACCAGCATATTTCATTAAGAGAATTAGATAACACCAGAAACTCTTTACCACCATTAGTTATTTTCTCGTTGGCACAGGTAGCAGCAAGTGCAAAAACCAATATAGATCGAAAATCAAATTATGGGTATTTAACAAAGCTATATGAATGTGACTAACAACAGGGTTACAGTGGGCAACAAAAGGAAAAGAGAAAAAAAAAAAGTCGGTGACCCTGTAAGGTGAAGAGAGCAAAACCTGAGTCAATGTTAAAGTCTTAGAATCATGAGACTTGACCAGTTGATCATACTGCCGCTTGATCTTCCTCTGCGTTACACTGGACGAAGATGTGAACGGATATAAACTGTCCAAACAATGCTTGCCCTTCGTTAGCGGCACCTGGTTCTCAAGACACTCTTCTTCGCCACCATCGTCGGCTAGGGAATTCTGCTTCTTCTTTTTGGTCCTCTTCTTCTTCTTCTTCTTCCCTCTTTGGTCCCCACTTTTGCCACAATCTTCACCAACGGAATCGCCACCATCCTTATCTAACTCCGACCCATCAGAAAGCAAGTTCTCCCGTCCCTTCCCATCATCGTTAACGGGCAAATGAGAAGGTATGGAAGGAATGAAAGAGGCCCATTTGGGAGGACAGGAGCCGAGAACCTCTACAAACAGTTGATGGTTCTGTTGGGTTTCACCTTGCTGCCGGGGTTTATTTGTACCGTCCGGGAGAGGAAAGCCATAGACAGACAGCATGGTTGTTGGGGATGACTTCTCAATTTCTTCCCTAGCTCTCTTTAATCTCCTACGCGCAGCAATAAAGATAACGCAAAGGGAGAGGAAAGAGAAGAGGAAGAACAGAATATAGAACATGGGTAGTTGTAATTGTTGCTGATGTACCACGGGGGACGAAGAACTGAAGAAAATAAATGATAAAGTGGGCGTTGCCATCGGCATGGGAATGCGTCATGACATGGAAGAGGAAGAAAAAAAGAAGAAATACAGAAGACAGAGAGGATAAGGATTCTTAAAGACTCCTCTTTTCTTGCTCTTCGAAGAATCTAGGGAAAGAAAAATGATTGTCACAAGCAAGCGTTTTTCTGTTCTATTCTCCACACTCCTGTCCCCGCAGGAGTAAATGCGTATCTCTGTCCCCCTTCGATTTGAAGGTTCTAAAATAGAGAGAAGTATCTATCGGTTGGCTTGTGTGTGCAGCACCACCTTGCTTCCATCGAGTTTTGATACTTTTTATTTTTGGATTGGACCCAATACGTGTGCCATGGTAGAACCAAATCCAATTGGAAGGTGAGGTGAGGCTCTCAGGCTCGAAGCCGATCTCCTCATGCTCACATGGCGGAAGGAATGGGCCCCATTGCTGATAAACCCTACTTGTTTAGAGGGGAGGGGTATAGAATCTATAGATCATAGACCTCGGAGATGCTCCACTACCTATTCGTGAATCGTGAATGCAAAGATGCAACAACTCTAGACTCTAGAGGGTAGTCCGAGTCCCTACTCCCAGGTGACCGCGACCCAAATCCTCAATCAGGTTGACGACACGACCATCAAACGATAACTAACTCCATAACCGAAAAGTGAAAACAATGTAGCGCGGTTTAGGGATTTCAGACAAAAACCATCATAGACCTGTGCAATATGGTGCACCCATCAGATGGATGCAACTGCACGACAAATGCAGCCAGAATTGAATGGATATACATTACAAGCTTACAACCTTTGGATTGGAATAAGTGCCCCCACTTGATTTGATTCCTTTTCCATGATTATCAACGTTTGGAGGGGAGGGGACATACAATGGTTACATGAACGAATATTGGTTCTTTATTATCATCACTATTATTATTATTATTATTATCGTTAGCAAGTTTGTACACAAATTGAGTGAAGTACTGGAACTTATAAAATTATAATTTATAATTTTAATTATAATTATGGAACCGTACATAATTTTAATCTCCGCACCTTTCACCAACCTTACAAGCACTTGGAACCGTACATATGGAACATTTCGTTACTTATAAAATTATCATTCATGGGATATGTTTTCAATCCATGGCCGCAAGTGCAACGCTCTATTTAGGGATGTCAACGGGGGAGGGTTCGGGGAGGGACCCAATCCGTTTTCCTAAATCTCTCAACTTATAATTACCTCAAAATCTTTTCCAACCCTATATTTTCTGCATTCAAGGTAGGGCATATTGGGTTTAAAAGCAGTATTTAATTTCTTATTATTTCTTGTTATATATAATAAATAAATAATTAAAATAACACAAATAAACATCAAGATTTCTAATTACTTGATTAAAAAATATAAAAATACATAAACTATCAATTATCCTTCACATAAACTTTAAAATATTATTAAATTCAAAACCTAGTATATAAAGTTTATATGCTTTCCAATAACATGCGGCTCGGGGAAGGTCGGGTTTAACATAATACTATACCCTACTCGTACCTGTACGGGTTATAGAATCCTAAAACACGTACCTGCCCCAAAACCCATCATTTAAACAAAAAAAAAAAACCTGCCACCGCCCCGTCGGGGAGGATAGGGTAGGGGTGCAAATGATCATGATCCGATCTGAGATCTGATCCTATTTGGTCGAATTCAGATCACCCCTATTTGAATTGAGTAAATAGGATCCTATCAGATTCAGATCATCCCCCTATCTAATCCAAGAAGATCCGATCCATTATATGTTATATATTTATAATATAAATATATAATATATATGTTATTTATTTATAAATATATTATTTATATTATTTATATTATTTATATTATTTATATTGTATTTTTATAATTTTTTTATATTATTTATTTTTATAAAAACATGTATATATATAATTAAAAAATACTTGTATTTTTTATTTTTTTCTTTATTTAAATTGGTATATTTTATTTTTATTTTAATAATTTTTAAAGAAAACAAGTTGGATTGGATTATATCCGAAGATTCGACTTACCGATAGGATTCGAATTCAAATCTTAAGGCCTATAAAATTCGATCAAATCTTCAAATCGAATCAGATCTGACATGAACAATGTTAGATCGGATTCAGATATTCGAATATGATTCGATCTATTTGCATCCCTAGGCAGGGTAAGGGCAAATACCCACCAGGTAAGGTAGAAATTGCCATTCCTAGCTCTGTTGAGTTCGAATTTGTTACTCAAAGATCAGACCAACCTCACAAGCACTTGGTGTGAGGTGCGTTATGTATTGATCAAATCTGAATTCCTGTTGGAGGAAGATAATCCCTCGTTCAGGAGGGTTTGAAGACTGTCCTGTGAGGACCAAATCTGAAATGTCATGAGTTATGAATTGTGTCAGAATTGATTTATTGTTGTTTGGGAGCTCGATGTGCTGTTTTCATTTCCATATTCATGTTCAGACCTGTTCTTTGTTTTGTATTTTTGCTTGCAATTGATTTGTAATTTAAGCATTTATGAATGAAAATCTCGCCTTTCAAAGCTAAAAAATTGAGTGAGATCACTCGCGTTAACATCATGGGCCATGCTCAAACCATGTAAAGGTGCGGGACAAGTGAGAATTAAAAAGTGCACTACATCAATGCACATTACTATTCCCACATGGTACACTAAGGTGATGTTTGGCATTGATAATGATTTTTCCTGGCCCATTATCCAAAAATCGTTGATTTCTGGAATTAGTAATTTTTGAAAAATCATCAAAAATTGTTATTTGGTATCACTTATGTCATGTAAGCTGATTTTTGAGAAATTGGTTTGAATTGTTTGGTATTGATTTTCAAGGGCCAATTATTTTTGTATTAGAGTTATTATTCAATGCCATGTTGGATGTTATGTTATCATCAAAAAATTGGAATCAGTTAAAAATTAGGAAATCACCAGAAAAGGTGATCCCTGAAAGGGGCTGATTTCAATAATTGATTTTTGACTGATTTCCCAAAAGTCAGCATAATTGGCAAACCAAACAAAAAAAAAAAAAATCACTTATTCTTCAAGTTCTGATGTAAATCCTATGTGACACGATTTATGAGAAATCATCATCATATGCCAAACATCACCTATTTCTACGCACATTCTGATGTGTATTCATATTGAGACATTTCTCTACCTTTTTCTTTCAAACCAAACACAGCGTAGGGTTTACCAAAATAAAATCTTCCATTGACACAAAGGTGGAGTCTTTACCTTGATACCCGCCCTAACATTAGGGATTCTTCAATTTCTTACAGTCTTCAAAATCTAGTGTGGGTCATCCTTTCACATGGGATCATCTTCATCTTATTGGTTGGTATTAGAAAACTCTTGTTGAAAAGCTGATTAGCAATTGGACCAGGCCTCACAAGTCACATCTATGGTAAAGAATATAAAGGTTAGGTATATCTCAAGCCTAGACACAAAAAATACATATACTCTTTTTTTTTTGTTATTTTGTTAAAATTATTTATTCATTGTTGGAAGGAGAAAACAACATTCATCTTTATTTGGTAGAGATTTTAAGGTAAAAATTATGATGCAAGAACTGCACTTTGAAGCAAAAAAAAAAAAAAAAAAACATGAACAATGATATGTCACGTATGACATTCTAATATTGATAAAGTCTTGATGATAATTAGAAATTGTGAAACATGAACCAATAAAAATTAAGGGCTTTTACGCATCAGGCCCCCACAAAAATATTTATCGTCAAAGCAGTGTACGAGAATTGAAATATCTTCATTCCATGAATGGGTATATTAAAACTCAGTTCACTCCACTGGCCCACCTACAGAAATACCACGTCATCCATATTTTTCAAAATACCTAAATTTCCATTGAGAAATGCCACCTCATTGATATTCTAAAAATCCCAAAAAGGCCCATTTCATACATGACTAGTAATTTTCCTTCCCTCTTCCCCCATTCACTCCCACCTTCATTTTCACCTCCGTCGAACAATCAGAATGTCTTCACTGTAAAATCTACAACACAGCACCTTCGATCCTCTTCACCGGCACACACCAACAGAAAAGGAGATATCTCCCTCTTCCCCTTATTGATTCCCATCTTCATTCTCACCTTCATCAAATAGCTGAAATATAGCACATTCGGGGGAAAATCTACAGTGCCTTTGATTCTCTTCATCAGCGCACACCGATAAAAGCAGAGATATATCTCTTCATTCCTTTGTCATGTCTTCTTCGTTGGACCGCAATCAAACAACAGGCATGGAAGCATGATTTGTTGTTTGTTGGACTATTGTTCGCCAACGTTGCATGTGTATCGTGTAGTGGGGTTGTGATAAACAGGGTCAAGTAAACCCCCTTACCATCTTGATATTTTCTCAAAAGCAATGGAGGTGAATTCATGCTAGAGGAATCAGATTAAGTAGAAAGGGAATTAAATGTATGCCAAATTTTGCACCGCTAATATGATTTTGTTAGTTTTGTCCGTCATTGTCCATGTGTATCTTGACGTGGGATTATGACAAACTGGTCAAGTTAAACCCCCTTTACCATTCCAATATATTCTTGGAAGCATTGAAGGCGAATCCATGTCAAATAAATCAGATTAAGTGAAAGGAGAACAAGATGTACATAAACTTTATTTGCACCACTAATATAATTTTGTAAGCATCACATGCCGATGTTCACACGTATCCCATCGCGGGGTTGTAACAAACCGGTCATGTAAACCCCACTTACCATCTTAGTATCTTCTTGGAGCATTGGAAGTGAATCCATGCTAGAGGAATCGGATTAAGTGGAAAGAGAAAATAGATATATGTTAACTTTTGCTTCCCTAATCTAATTTTGTAAGTATCGTCCACCAAAGTCTGTGCGTATCATGCCACAGGATTATGAGGAACGGGTCAAATAAACTCCCCTTGTTCTCACAATATCTTTTCGAAAGCATTGGAAGTGAATTCATGCTAAATAATTTAAATTAAGTGAAAAGGGGAACCTAAGGTATGCCAAATTTTGCATCGTTAATCTAATTTTGTGAGCAACGTCCACTTGTCTGCGTGTATCCCACCATAGAGTTATGATGAATGGGTTAAATAAAACCCCCTTACCATCCCAATATCCTATCAGAAACATAGGAGGTGAGTCCGTGCCAGAGGAATTGGATTAAGTGGAAAGGGGAACTTAATGTACATAAACTTTTGCACAATTAATCTGATTTTGTAAGCATCATCCACAATCATTCGTGCGTATTACACCGCATGGTTAAGACAAACAGCTCAAGCAAAACCTTTACCCTTCTGATATTTTCTCAAAAGCATTCAAGGTTAATCCATGCTAGAGGAATTAAATTAAGTGGAAAGGGAATTTGATGTACATCAAATTTTGCACCGCTAATAAAGAATGTGTAAGTGTCATTCATCGTCGTCTGTGCATATCC